CTTTTAAAGATTCACATAATCGTAGTAAACTTGATGAAATATTTGCAAAATGTGTTTTTGTAGGTTATTGTTCTCAATTTAAAGCATATAGGCTATATAATCCTATTAGTGGCAAAATAGTTATCAGTAGGAATACTGCATTTGATGAAGATGTAAGCTGGTTTTGGGATGAAAATGATGAAATTGCCAATAAGAATAATGAAGTCATCATATCAAAGTGCCAACAAGTGAACCTTCACCAACTAGAGAAGTTGTACCAACACCTACGAGTTCACCAAGCATAGTCCTTTCAAATTCAACAACATTCAGCCCTTCAAGTAATAGCAGTTCACCTTCCACACACGCTTCTTTAGATGAGTCTCCTCCGAGGAAATTCAAGTCATTAAGGCAAATTTATGAGACAACTCAAGCTGTGTTCGTTTCAGATCCTACCAACTTTAAAGAAGCGGAAAGTAAAAAAGAATGGTGTAGTGCAATGAAAGAAGAGCTTGAGGCAATTAAGAAAATTGAGACATGGAAATTGGTGGACCTACTTGAAGGTAAAAATGCTAGAGTAAAATGGGTTTATAGAACAAAGTACCATTCAAATGAAATAATCGAAAAGCACAAGGCTCGGCTTGTGGCAAAGGGGTATTTCCAACAACAAGGTATTGAATACGATAACACATTTTCCCCTGTTGCTCGATTTGAAATAGTAAGAACCATTTTAGCCTTGGCAGTATAATTAAGCTGGCCTATTTTTTAATTCGATGTCAAATTTACATTTTTAAATAGAGAATTGGAGGAAGAAGTTTATTTCTCTCAACCAGAAGGTTTCATCATTCAAGGAAAGGAAGATAAGGTCTATAGATTGAAGAAAACACTCTATGGTCTAAAGCAATCTCTACGAGCATGTTACAATAAGATAGATTCTTACTTTCATCAAAATGGATTTGAAAGAAGCAAAAGTGAGCCCACACTTTATTTAAAGAGATATAATAAAAATGATCTTCTAATTGTTTGTCTTTATGTTGATGACATAATTTATATGGGTTTCTTTTTCTTCTCTTATTGATGAATTTAAAGTGTGTATGAAGAATAATTTTGAAATGTCAAATTAAGGTCTTTTACGTTATTTTCTTGGCCTAGAAGTGAAACAAGTTGAAGATCGAGTTTTTGTTTGACAAAGGAAATATGCAACCGATCTTCTTAAAATATTTAATATGCTGAATTGCAAAGTTGCAGCAACACTTTTGAATTGGAATGAAATTTGCAGCTGGATGATGGTACTGAACAAGCAAACTCAAGTTAATTTAGAAGCTTGCTTGGTAGCTTGATATACTTAACTCAAACCGGCCTGACATAGCGTTTTCAGTTTGAGTGATATCTATGTTCATGCATTGTCCGTCAAAGCATCACATTGGAGCTGCAAAAAGTGTCTTGCGCTACATTGCTGGAACAATAGACTTCGGGTTATGATAATTTCCATGTTTCAGATTTCAAATTGTTTTGGATTTACTGATAGTGTTTGGGAAGGTTGTTCTAAAGATAGAGCACATCAGGTTATATTTTCAGTTTGGGATCAGAAGCCATATCTTGGGAGTTCAAAGAAATAAGCAACAACAGTTTTGTCTTCATCTGAAGTTGAATATGCAGTTGTAACTTCACCAGCATTTCAAGCCATATGGTTACAAAGGCTACTCGCAAACCTTGATAAAAAACAAATAGGAGGAACTGAAATCTATTGTGACAACCAAGCTGCAATTGCCATGTCCAAGAATCCAACTTACCTTGGAAGAACGATGCATATAGATATTCAAGTTCACTTCATTCAAGAGCTTGTAGCAAAAGGGCAGATCAGTCTACATTATTGCAGCACAATTGAGCAGTTAGCTAATACTCTAACAAAATCGCTCCTTCGTGAAAAGCAAGTTTATTTCAAAAATCAGCTTGGAGTTTGCAATTTTGAATCAAGGGGGAGTGTTGAAGGTTAATTCAGAAATTGTCATATGTTAATTTCTAGTTAGTCCAATTTGACAGAGTCATAGATACTGGTTTAATTTCAAATATATGCTCCATATTTTCTGGTCTTTAGTTAGTCAAAGTCAATATGAATTAGCGGCAATAAATGTGATGTTAGTTGAGGATTTTTAACTATTTTCAGTTTGTTTGTTTCTGGAAAAGAAAAATAAGAAGAAGAAGAAGAAGAAGGTATTTCTCTACATTTTCTCTGTTGTAATTCTCTGCAGATTTTTTTGTTTCCTTGCCTTTGCTTCTCTAAATTTCAAACACTTTGTTCTGGGTTCTGCTCTCTTTATACATGCAATGTCACTAAATTCACGACTTAGATGTAACTAACCTTGAAGAAAGGGGCACATACCCATTGAATATTTGGTTGTATATTCGCTTGCAATAAGTTAGGATGGATCACTGTTCTTAAATGTATTCAACGGGTTCACTCGCAAGCCAATACATTTTTTTCATTTCTCGTGTGGTAAAGCTTTTTAAGATTCGTTAAACTTAATATTTAACCATACATTTTATTGGATCCATAATTTTTATCCATTTTAATAATACAATTTATAGAAATCCACCGAAAGCATAACCCTTGCATAAATGTCAAAAATATGAGTGGCTCAATAACTTTATTTTTTAGCACTTTGATTTTATTTTATTTTTATTACAATAGTTGCAAAAAATTTGTTGATATGGCAAACAAGATTATTTAGAGATTTGTTTTTCCTAAAAAATTCCCCATCTTCACTAAAAACTAAAATTTTATTTTCTATTTTATCGTTCTTTATCTGTTCTATCCACAGAATTATTACTAAAACATATTTAAATTACATTTCTTATTTTTCCTCCCTTTTTAAAGAAATATTGTTTTAAATTAATTACATTAGTTCATTGCTATTTAGGAAGTAATAAATTTAACATTGAACAAGGTTCAAAAAATAAGTTTATTTTTTTTAATCAATAAGCAAAAAAAGCTTGTTCCAAGATAAGGTTGTCCACACAAAATTGATTGATGCCTAGACGGAGCCCGTAATTGAAGTCACCGAAAAATTATTCATCACTGATGGACCGGCTATTGAGACCCTCGTTTTATTCCCCACCAACCCCAATGTGAAAAATTATTTTCGTGATCTCAAACTTTTTAATCATTGTCTTTTTTATTTAAGTTCGACTGTAACAATGTTGGTGTCAAACCTTCCAAATTTGTGTGGCAAAAGGTCATTTGGGCCGATTTTTTTATTTATCACAAAGTCACTGTGATATAAAGACTATCGAATACTGAAAAACACAAAGGTGCAAATCTTTTGAATCGAGTCATTTGGAACCTCGATCAAGACAGAGGCAAATGACATAAGTTGTTTATTATCATTCCATTCATATTTAATACAATTTATCAAACACGGGTACAAAATTTCATTTCGTATAAGCGTTTTTCTTGATAAGTGAAATTTAGTATGGAGTTACGCATGTAACAAGGAATTCATGTCTAGATTCTAATGACATTTATTTACAAGAATTTAAGTATCTTCTGATGTAATTAGATTATTCGTTCTTGAACTACAAATTCAGAAATAAATTATCTCAAAATAGTAGATTAATGCTACGCTATGTGAAAGGCATTATACAGATCGATCAGATAGTCGAGGCAGACAACAGAAAAGTGCTAATCTGAAGAGGGACTGAACCCTGCCATTTTCAAAACTAATTTTATTTGCAATCGGAACTCGGAAGAGAGGATTAAAGGCTTGACGGTAAGAGTATAAAACTAAAAATATAAAAAGATAATTTGTGGCTGCTGGGATTCGAGCCCAGGTCTCCACGGCCACAACGTGGAATTCTTACCACTAAACTACAGCCACAGTTGTTTTCAAATCCTCTATTAGTTTATATAAGAAAAACTTTTGACACCCAGATGTGAAATATTAGAGTTCCGTCCGTTACAAGAATGATAAATTGGGATTTCTATCCAATAGAAATGAGATTGGAAATATCCTGTCCCCACCATGCCCCTAATTTCAAGAATCTGGTCTTGATTCTTTTTATTTTATTTTTATATTTTCAAATAATTAAACGGGGAAGTAAAAAATGTTTTAATTCCCATCGTCATCTCTATATAGAAATATGTCCAACACCCATTAATATCATTAGTAGAATTCAATCTATCTCTCTCATTCTTTACTTTTATGATTAGATTAGAATACATTATTGTTTTAATATGTCCAAATCATAACCCAGGTGATGTAGGCGGCAACAATTGGCCTTTTGGGAATATTCGTCCCTCATGGATTCAACATGATTTGTCTTTTGAAAGATGAGTAAAATCAAGATTGCAAAACTTAAACCTCGTTTGGTACACATTAATGTAAAAATGAGCCCTCAAGGCACATCTCCAAGTGGTAAAAGGGGAGGGTGGAGAAATCCAACTTTGCCTGAGGCTGCTACGTCAAGGGTTCGAATCCTGAAATATGGATTTGACTCTTGGGTAAGTGCAAGTGTACAAGCAGCCTTCCACCCTGTACTCTTGGAGGCATAACCTGCGATTTACCTCCCTCACGATACTCCAGGTCAGGGGTGGTGGGGGACCCTTAAGGTTAGAGTTTAATCTTTTTTTTTTTTTTAATGTAAAAATGAGAATGAACAATATAATCGTTACAGGCCACACACCAGAGATAAAAAGTCAAATATGATAACTTGATGTGATAGATAACAATTATATTTTTCATTTTAATGGACAAATAATGAAAAACAAACGGGACTTAATCTCTTACATTCCACTCATACGCACAATACATGGACTAAACTCAAATATATAGATAAGAAAATATGGCGGCAGCAAAGATTCCGATATTTCTAGGAAATATTGAGACATGATAGAATTTCGAATGCTGTCGCTGTCTGGAGAAAATTTAATAGCAATCTTTGTTGGAATACTTGAAAATAATAATAATAATAATAATAATAATAATAATAATAATAATAATACATATAGACCCCAAGAACAAATATAAAACGTAACACCCAAAGGTATCGTGAACAAAACAGAGTACACCAGGAAAAAAAATACAACAAACAGAATGGATGCATTGAAGTTCAAATTACATAACATACTAGCTACACGAAGAAGCCTGCCAACCAATATGTTATTAGAACCAATTGGAGTGAATCTCGAAATACACGGCATAGGTAGTGTCAAGAATACAGAAACATCTTTTATACCGATTCCTAATGTTTGATTTCAAGGCCCTTGAGCTTGGATTCCAATTCATCCTCATTATTGTCAACTTCCTCAGCCTCTTCGTCATAATCCTCTCCTTCGGGATCGTTCTCATCCAAAGGACCAAGCAGACTAGGAGAATTCTTGAATGTATCCTTCACCTCATCAATCCCTTCATCAGATATGAAATTGCCATTAATATTTAACAGCTTAAATCCAGGTTTGTTTACGACAGCCTGGGCCAAGCACCTGGCCCCAGCCCTTCTTATTGAGTTAGTGCTCATATCTACTTCATATAATTGGCCATGGCCCTCCTCCAGTGCCTTGGCAATCAAAATAGCACCCTCGTCCTTTAGTTCATTCTCGGCCAAGTTTAATTTGGAGAGAAATTGTTTAGAAACTATACAGGCAGCCAAGGCAGGAGCAGCTTCAGCAGTGATTTCATTTCCAGCCATATCTAAGACTTCCAATGACGGAGCAGATTCTTTTAGGGCATTTGCTAGAGCAATAGACCCCTCATTCTCCAAATTCAAATAACTGAGGTAGATTTCAGACAGATCAGAAAATTTAGATAAATCCTTGCTCAAAACAAGTCCGGCTTCAACACCAAACATATTGTCACGCAGATCAAGCTTCTTTAAATTGGTGCATGTCCCAAGGGCTTCAGCCAGGGCTATCCCTCCCTCGGAATCCACCCGTGTCGAGGAACATCGAAAATCCTCTAGCAAAGGAGAATTCTTCACAAGTTTAGATATAGCAATTGCCCCTTCGTCTCCTGTCATGTTATTGTGAAACTGAAGCACTTTGAGTCTATCAGTTGAAGGAATTAGCTCCAAGACTGCTTCCGCAGCCTCCTCTGAAATTCCATCATTAATGAGATACAGCTCCTCCAAATTACGCTGAGACTTTAAAAGGGCGGAAAATGCCCTGACACCCTTCTCGCCCAGAGCATTGTTTGACAGGTTAAGATATCTAAGATCACAACCCTCCAGAGCTAATGAAAACATATTCATAACTTCAAGTGCATCAGTCTCTGACTTTCCAGCTACGAAATCAGATAGGTCTACTTCAGTCACTTGATTCTTTATGGATGACAATATCGGTGCAGCAGTATGGGCCGCATCCAGACCAAAACTACAATTGCTGAAGCATATCTTTGTGTATTTATACCCAGGGTCTTTCAGGGGATTTAACAATTTCAGAGCATCCTCTGCACTGATGTCAACCCGAGGATCTCCAGATATATCGAATACATTATCATGAGATTTCTTAATTTTATCTAATATGTTTATTTCTCCATCCTCCTTTGCTGTAGGCCCTCTTTTGATAACTTCCAGCATAAGCCTACTGGATTCTTTGGCATATAATTGCACTGCAGAACTTCCATCTCCATCTGGCTCCTTCTCAAAGTGTTGGCTTGCAGTGGCAAAGGCTAGGACTTCTATTTGCTTGGCATCCTCCTCAGCTTCTTTTTTACTCAAAACACCATACCTTCTAGACAAAATGGATGGAGTCGTAAGATTCCGGGTCATTTTGTCCACAAGCATTAGCCTGGTACTTTGGCTAGGAGGCCACAATTTGATAGACAAATTTGTAGATTCCATGTCAAGAAAATCTGAAAAGGTAAAGCAAATGAACACCATAAACAATTATCATAAAAATTCCCACTGCTTATTGCTATTTTACATTAACTTATAAGTAAGAAGATATACCATTTTTATCGGTGAATGTTCGATGTGTTACTTATTTTGACAGTAAGAAAAAAGTAACATTTTTTAACTTAAAAGTGACAAGGGTATATTATCAAACACGTTTGGGGCCAAAAATTTACTTAAGAGTAAATTTACATTTTTTTAGACTTAGACGAAAAGGGACCAGAACATTTCAGCGCAAAATACTACAAATATCCAATCAATTTGTTTATTCTTTTCCAATCAATGCCATGGAACCCAGAACATAAAAAAATGCATACATCATAAGTTTCTCATTAACTCAATCGGTAAGAGGAAAGGGTCCGACAAAAAATAACCATTATCGTTCAACTGTAAATAAGCCCATAAAAAACCAATACAACGAAATGCAATAAAAAGAAAGTGTCACTCGTGAAAAAACCCGCAAATATTAATAATAAAATTAAACACGAGTCAATAGATGAGATAAGAACATGAAATAATACCTGCAAATAAGACTAATTCAAAACGAGAAACGAAAGGGGAAACTTACTGGCGAAGTACAACTCGGCAAGCAGCGAATATAGATCTAAAAGATATATTTAATAAAACTAAAAACCCTAATCGTCGTCAAAAGAGGGATAAACACTGTTTTAATTGGAGGGAAATTTGATTTAGGAAATCGAAAGTCAAATCTTGGGAGAAGAGAGGATGAAATTTCAGAGATCTGAGGATTTAACGAGATTAAATGGGCCCAATAAATTGGTTAATTTCCTGATCGTGCCAATATAGGTAGATATGACTAGGATTAGATAACACGAGTTAGGCCCATGATTGCTAATAGCAAGTTGGCCCTCAATCTTTCAATATACTCTATATCCTCCCCTCGCTCAAGAAGTGCAAAAATTGGTGGATAGTGTTTCCCTTGTAGCCTCGTCTTGTATGCTGATTTTGTTTTGAGATGTTCAATGTACTGATTATATAAATAAATAAATTAAAAGATTTTTAGTTGGTCCCACAAATAGTGAAGAAGAGGTATCGATGGTCAGGCCGCTTTGAATTCTTGAGAGCATAGTTTTAAGATGAATCAATCCTACCATGACAACACATACGATGTTCCATACTTATTGCAGTCAAATTACTAGTAACGTAGAAAATAGACAATACTTTGCTCATCTTTTGTATAGATTAAAATCAACTTTTAAATAAATTTTAATAAAATTTGATGAAATATGTACTTAAAATTTTGTGGATTCCATGAAACATATGATTAAATTTAATTATTGAAATCAATTCAAAGTAATCATATCCAAAGTAATGGGGAAGAAGGTGTAAGACTTCTCAAATAGTGTGGAGACTGGATCAGGGATGAACATAGATGTGGCATGTGGGAGTCACGTGACTGCCCAACTGTGGGTTTTTTTTTTTTACATCATTAATTTTTTTTTGTCTTTTGTCTCAATTTTCAAAGTTGTCATGAGATGTTAAATGAAGTCGAAACGTTACATTCTTAATAACATTTAAAAATGTTCACAGTCTAATTTTCTACATCGTGAATGGCGTGCGAAAAAGGCCAACTGTAGCAAATGTTACAGCTCGTCAACATAAGTCGTTTCAAACTAATATTTTAGGAATTTCATTAATGTGCTAATTTTAAAATTCTTCGACGATTATACACTAGTCGAATCCACATCGTCAATGTCATCTCAAAGCTCATTTCGAGAATTACATGATAGTCATATCGAATGGTCCAAAAAGACATTGAAAATAGCTAAAGATGCGTCAAATGTGCATCTTATAAAGATGTGTCTAACTCGTTTTTTATTTAAAAAATTTCAATTATTTCATTAACGTTTATTATTTTTGCGATACAAAATTTTCAATACAATTTACATCATTTTATTTGGAAATTTTACACAAGATGTGTCATCAAAATTTTTTGGATTTTTACATCCGAAAAGTTATACCCCATGTAAATTCTTAGATGTAAAATTACATGGGTATTATTTTATTTTTTATGTAAATTTTCAAATGTGAAATTTCTCACAATTTTTTTGTAAGTTTGATTGCGTCTTTTTAACTCAAAATGTCTATGAGCACCCCTACACTAAGTACATAGGTCTTGGAGTTGTTATTCAAAATTTATCGGGGTGTGATCATGGCAATTTGTGTTAGGCGTATTGTGTGTTCTCTATCGCCATGGGACTCTAAGGATTTGGCGCTAAGGAAGGGTCTTACCTTAGGCATTGATTCAATTGCAGAAGTTAAGTGCAACTCCTTGCCTGTTATACAAAGCATAAAGAGGGATTTTAGTCTAGAATGAGAAATAAAGTAGTTACATGAGAACGTGTGTGCGTGCATGAATGTGTGTGTGTGTATATATTGACCTCGTTTTCGGTTGGGGTCACGTGGACAATAGATGTCGGACCTACCTACGTACACGTAAGTTTAGTCCGACACGCTAAGACATGCAGACGGTCTGAGAAAGGGCGTCGGAGTGGTTCAAAGGGAACGGGACGACAACGTTCGAAATCTGACAAGACATTTGTAAAACGATTGTACAATAATTATCAATCATGTATGTATGTAGTCTTGATTTGTATTGCAATAGAGTAAAAGAGAGTGTTATGAAGTATTTGTTATTGAATTGAATCTTGCATTAGTCCTTACATTAGGTGCATGGGAGAGTATTTATAGTGATACAAGTTGAATCATGGCCCTCAGTTGAGAGTACACATGGCTTCATCCTATTTGTTTACATATCCAATCCTATGGTCACTTTTGACTACCTAGCATGTTATATATTTATTGATTGACAGAGCCGTCGTTATGTTAGACAAGACAAGACACTTACACTTTATGATGGACGTCCCATCAATCATTCAAAGAGGATCCTTGTACAAAACCGGATCTCTTGGGAGAGCTGAAGCCATAGGCACTTCGATTTTAGCATAGGAGCATTGGTATGGACCACCTCGATCAATGAGTTACGATCTTCAAGCAATTGGGCCACGTCAGAGGTGTTGCTTCTGGAGGTTGTGAGTTTTTCATTGGCCTTAGGGCCTCGATCACCATGCCACGTGGTTCGACTTAGGTGGGCCACGAGCTCTAGTGGATCGCCCAAGTGTGCCAACACGTAATAATAGTCTCCCAAATTCAAGTATAGTCATTTATGTAATGCATGGACTTCAGTGTTGGAATAAAGTCCTCTGTTTTCGTCGGGTAAAAATTGGACTTTGAACCCTAAATAAGTCCCTCAAGTCCAAAGTCCGAGTATAGATATTTATATCATGGTTAGAGTTAAAAATACGCTGTCTTGTCTGGACAAGTACTTGAAGTTTGCTATTATAGCGTTTAATTGTGAGTCGAGGCAGGAAATCTGTGCCGCCGAGGCTCATCATGTTTATTTGGTGACAACAATTTTGAAGCCGAGGCAAGAAATCTGTTAACCTCGTTCCGATTGGGGCCACACAAACACCAGATGTCGGACTCACTCGCGCACATACAAGCTTAGTCCAATACGCTAAGAGAAGTAGGCGGTCTGGTTCGCTCTGGGAAAAGGCGTAGGAGTGGCTCAAAAGCACGGGACAACAACATTCGAAATCTGACAAGACATTTGTAGAACGATTGTACAATAATTATCGATCGTGTTTGTAGAATATGTATGTAATCTCGGTTTGTATTGCAAGAGAGTAAAAGAGAGAGTGTTGTATAGTATTTGTTCTTGTATTGAATTTTGCACTAGTCCTTACATGGGGTGCGTGGGAGAGTATTCATAGTGGTACAAGCTGAATCATGGCCCTCGGTTGAGAGTACACGTGGTCTCATCCTCTTAGTTTACATATCCAATCCTAAGCATCACTTTTAACTACCTGCCTTGTTATACATTTATTGGTTGGCAGAGCCACCGTTACGTTTGACAAGATAAAATACTTGCACTCTATGGTGGACATCCTATCAATCATTCATAGAGAATTCTTGTGCAAAACCGGATCTCTTGGGAGAGCTGAAGCCAGAGGTGCTTCGACTTCGGCATAGGAGCCTCGATATGGACCACGTTAGTCCTCGACCTGCACTTTGGTCTTCAAGCAATTGTGTCACGGCAGACGTGTTGCTTCTAGAGATTGCATGTTCTTCATTGGCCTTGGAGCCTCGATCACCATGCCACAGGTCCGGTTTAGATGGGCCACGGACCCTAGTGGATTGATCAAGTGTGCCAACACGTAACATCCCATATCTTTTTCACCACAAGGAACACATGGACCGAATCAAGTTATTCCGTGCTAGATTTGGAATGAATCGAGCGGGATTGCTAGCCGCCCGCATTTTTAAAAGAAATATTGAAAATATAATTTTATTTATTTATTTATTTATTTTTTTCACCTCACAAACAACTCATACGAGAAAATGCCAGCTCAGGTCAGTTCATGACTTGGCTCCAAAGCATTTGACATCCTAACTACATCATATACGTCAACTCATACGATAAAATGCGAGCTCAGGTCAGTTCAAGACTTGGCTCCAAAGCATTTGACATCCTAACTACATCATATACGTCAACTCATACGATAAAATGCGAGCTCAGGTCAGTTCAAGACTTGGCTCCAAAGCATTTGACATCCTAACTACATCATATACGTCAACTCATACGATAAAATGCGAGCTCAGGTCAGTTCAAGACTTGGCTCCAAAGCATTTGACATCCTAACTACATTATATACGTCCTTAACTATACATTCAAAAAGCACATATAGAATTACCCCATTTTGTTTTCCTATTAAACACGCCACTTCAAACATAGATGGAATTTCTGCTCAAGGCTTGCTACTTTAATTGATGAGCACCAATTTCTTTTGGCTTCTCCAGTTGTCCCACAAATAGCATTTACATTGCTTATCAATAGGGATGGCAAAAAATCTCATTCAACCCAATCCCATGCAAATGGAGGACGAGTTCCGAAGCGAGTAAGGAAAACATAGTCCCCGTCCCCTACCTACGCCCGTTTAAATTTAATTTCAAATTTAAGTTTTTATTAAACAAAAATGGTAAATTTATCATTATTTTTAAAGAGAACATAAGTTGTTTTTAACAAATTGATAAAAAAGTAATAATATTTACTAAGGACATAAAATAAATAAATAAATAATAAAAAAGGTAGGGGAACTGCTTTAATTGGGTATACATATGAGATAAGATAACAAAAATACCCGACAGGACGAGATGAGAATGGCCGACCTATCTGATACTTGCCCCGTTGCCATCCCTATTTATCAACAAAAAATAGTGATGACAAAAAAATTTGTCCCACCCTGTCTCAACGGGCCTTGCTCCAAATGGGGCCAAAAAAACCCGTCCTCGACTCACGAAGAGAAAAAAAATTAAAAGTAATTTTATTTATAAACAATTCAACACTTAAAAGCTCATTTTGAATTTGTATTTTATTATCTAATAATAGTGTAACTCGAAATTTTAAAAAAAATAAAAAAAGAAAATTTAGATAAATCCTTGCTCAAAACAAGTCCGGCTTCAACACCAAACATATTGTCACGCAGATCAAGCTTCTTTAAATTGGTGCATGTCCCAAGGGCTTCAGCCAGGGCTATCCCTCCCTCGGAATCCACCCGTGTCGAGGAACATCGAAAATCCTCTAGCAAAGGAGAATTCTTCACAAGTTTAGATATAGCAATTGCCCCTTCGTCTCCTGTCATGTTATTGTGAAACTGAAGCACTTTGAGTCTATCAGTTGAAGGAATTAGCTCCAAGACTGCTTCCGCAGCCTCCTCTGAAATTCCATCATTAATGAGATACAGCTCCTCCAAATTACGCTGAGACTTTAAAAGGGCGGA